TCGCTGACTTCAGGGTTCTCCCTTATCTTTAGTTTTCAGAAGGTGTGTGGTGTCCGGCTTGGGTTTCTTTGTCTTGTTTGGTGCATGTGCAGCTTCCAGAGTCACAGGTTTATATCCTTTGCCAGGTCTGGGGAGGTTTATTTGTTTGTTTATTTGTTTGTTTTGAGACAGAGTCTCACTTTGTTGCCCTTGGTAGAGTGCTGTGGTGTCACAGCTCACAGCAACCTCCAGTTCTTAAGCTTATGTGATTCTCTGGCCTCAACCCCGAGTAGCTTGGACTACAGGCACCTGCCACAACAGCCAGCTATTTTTTGTTGTTGTTATTGTTGTTGCAGTTTGGCTGGGGCTGGGTTTGAACCTGTCACCGTCAGTATATGGGGCCGGCGCCCTACTCACTGAGCCACAGGCACCACCCCAGGTTTGGGGAATTTTTAAGGCATTATTTCCAGAGTACTTTTCAGCCCTACTCTCTGCCTTCTCTCCTAGCTCTGTGAGGACATGCAATGTTAAAATCTTCTACTGAAGCTTTGAATTTTTTTTATTTCAGTCTGTTTTCTCTGTTGTTCAGATTAGGTGATTTCCTTTGTTCTCTTTTCTAGTTCCGATTATTTCCTCAGCTTTCTCCAGTCTGCTGTTGAGCTATGTAATGAGTTTTTATTTGCATTATTAACAGTTTTAGTTTTAAAATTTCCATGTGATTCTTCTTTGTAGCTTCCGTTCCTTTGCTAACATTTTACTTTTGCATGTTTCAAGTGTGTTTGAAATTACACATTGAAGCAGTTTTGTGACTGGTTTAAAGTCTTTGTCGGGTGATTCTAAGATCTCTATCATCTTGGTGTTGACTACCTTTTTAAAATTTAGCTTAAGTCTAGTTCTGGGTATGATGAGTTATTTTTTGTTGAAATCGGATCATTTTTGGATTATAGTCTAGGATTCTGGATCTTGTTTAAATCTTCTTTCAGATGCCTTTCTCGGACACCACTTAGGCATTGGAGGTGGGGTAACCAGAGCAGGAAGGAGGGGAAGCATTTTTTTCGTGGAAGCCCAGGTTCTCTACTTGGTCTCTGTGGACAGCCAAATGGGAGCAGTCTCTCTAGCCAAGGGAGTAGTAAAGAAACACTGTAGATTATAATGCTCCATTCCAGCCAAACACCGAAGAAAAAAACATGCAGCTGCTCCCACACCAAAGAGGGCCCCCCCTAGACTTCTTGAGGCTGTAATTAGGCACCCCAGCACCCTCACCAGGGAAGGCAAGGAGCTGGGTTTTGATAATGTACTGGCTGGAAGTGGGCTCCCACTCCACGGTGTCAGGGAAGAACTTGCAGAGACTGAACTTCGGGTCTTCCCACCACCATCTTGCTCCCCCCCCCCCCCAATAATAAAGTGTTCTGCCCCTTTCCCTCGGGTTGGTGTCAGCAGAGGCATAGTGGAGAGTCAGGACTCTGATGATCGTTCAGGGATTCTTTGGGAGGGGTGGGCGTGGGGGGATGTCTCTTACGTCAAACAACAATTTGGCAGTCAACCATTTTTTCATCTCGAGAATATTCACCTCAGGTTCATTGCTATAGAGAGACAGAATCCTGAAATGCCTTTTCTCTCTTGCTAGTGTGAGTTCCTAGCTGACCTAGTTAAAACATTATTGTCAAAGACATGTGTGATCCTCTGAATAAGGACTTCACCAGTTTAGTAAGAACTTAACCAGTTTCCATTTCTTTCATTAGGCCAGAAATATCCTTTATTCCTTGCATTGCTATCAAGTGACGTTTCATGAATATATATGTACTGTTGCCTGATCATCATCAGATGTAATAAAAAGCAGTGGTCTCACTTGATACACTGGTTTCTCTCTGCCATTCCACAGTACCTTCTCCAGGCAAATTCCGCTCCCCTGCAGCACCATCTCCTTTGGCTCTCCGGCAGCCAGTGAAAGCGTTTAGTAACCACGGCTCTGGTTCTCCTGGTAGCCAAGAAACAGCACAGCTCACACAAACCACCTCCTCACCTGGGCCGCCCATGGCTCAGAACACAGTCTCAGCAAATCTTCCCAGCAATATTAACAGCACTACTCTAACAAGACCTGCAGGGACAACCACCATGAGAAGCAGCTTGCCCAGACCCAGTGCCCCTTCTGCTGGGGGTATACCAGTGCCTCGCAGCAAACTTGCACAGCCTGTCCGCAGGTAAGTGGCAGATGTTCTGGTTCAGCATTGCTGAGTATATGAGAGTGGGCATTAGCCTAATCTACATGGATAGCAGACACAGAGTCATGACGGGTTCCCACTAGGGTTTAAGTACAATTCGAATAATCTATTACTTCATTTTTTCAAGAACTTCTCATTTGGGACATTATACCAGTTTGGTTCAGATTTAATTTATCCAGATACTTAACATGATTAAGTATCTCAGATGACTCCTAGAAAAAACTGGTAGACCTACTCAATTTGGTTGTGATATTTATTCATTTTGAATATAACAATATTCAGTCTACAGTCCTAGCTAATCAAGAAGATCACTTGTGGCCAGGAGTTTAGACCAGCCTGGGTGGTATAGTGAGACCATGTCTCTTAAAAATACACACACACACACACACACACAGAGAGAAAATGATATTCACTACAGATGATAAAGCCAAGTTAGTATCATTCAAGATTTTACAACTTTTAGCTACTAAGTCTAATACGTAAGCATGGTTTTTATACCTTGTTAAAATTCAGAGTTGTCTATGGAATTTATATAAATGTAGAGGCCTAAATTTTACCCCCAGAGACTCTTAACTTTGTAGGCCCAGCATCTGTGGGTGTACTGTTTTTTTGTTTGCTTATTTAACCTTCACGTGACTCTGAACCCAAGTGACTGGGAGCCATGCATCTATAAACTTGATCTACCTTTTAAAAATGGGACTGTCACTATCAGTAAACTAACATGTCAACTATAATTAAACTAGAGATAATGAGTATTTACATGAAAAAAATACTTTTATAACCATTTAAACTGAATTACCCCATATTCTTAATTCTAAGTAAGATAAACACTTTACATATCCAGATTCAACAGTAGAGTCCAACAGCTTTTTGCCCTGCACTTTGCTAAATAAGCCTTGTTTAATCTTCACAATAATATTAGTAAGTAGGTACTGTTATTTTTCAGAGGAGGGTGCAAGTGTGGCTGACTTCACGGTCCTTTTAACCACTATCCCGTGCTGGCACTCTGGTGATAGAGGCACTAAACCTCTAATACCACATTATCATTTTGCTTCTCAAAAAAATGAACAGTGAGACTGGTTATCCATGGGGTTGGGCAGGTAGAAGGGTCTTTTCTCTTCTTTTGCTCTATAGCCATGTTAACATAGAGGGAAGCCATCTGGTGGTGCCAATAAAACTTGAAAATTGTGAAAATGCTGAGTGTGGGGAGGTTGGTGCTAATAGCTGTTTAGAGTTGTGGTCTTAATAGTCCCCTGGAATAGCCTTCATGGATCATGATGCCACCTGAAAAGAAATTAATATATGTAAGAGATACTAAGGTAATGTTTTGTAAAGATGTGCAAATCAAATAATATAAAATTACTTTATTTCAGATCCTTGCCAGCTCCTAAAACCTATGGTAGCATGAAAGACGACAGTTGGAAGGATGGCTGTTACTGACCAGCAGAGACCAGGATGCAGAGGTCCACAGCTTCATGGGTACCTTCACCAGGCTACAAAACAACTTTTATATGCAGACTGTTCAGATCAGACTCTTGGGATTTATAGAATTCCATCCCTCTCTGTCTTAATTAGCACAAACTGACAGAGATCATCAGACAGCACTTTAATGACATTTACCATCAGATGTGTTTGGTAATCATACAATCACTCTCCATGGAATCACTTTTAGTTTTGTTTATTGGAAACTAGGTTGATTTTTAAATATTTTACAGAGGCCAATATCTGGGCAAATACCTAATGGATGCCAAAGAGAAATGCCCATTTGTAAACGAGAGAGAACCTTTGTGCACAAGAAAATGGTGAATTCAAGCTATCCAAAACTTCACATTCAACATAATTTACTGTATAAATAGTATCAATAAATATTTGTTTTAATGAGAACTAATATTCTGACTAATTATCTAAACAGTTTCGCTAGTACTCCAGGAAAATATAGATTGAGATTGGAGTAAGGGGAGAGGAAAAAACCTGGGCTAGAGATTTAAAACATGGTCACTATATTTGGGAGAATTTCATAAATTATTTTTACAGATTCATTAGAAACGTTGTCATGTTATTTAATCTTAAGTTTTGGATGTAGCGCACAAATCACCACCACCAGACAGTGTGAATGGCCTGCATCCACCATGTGGCATTGACACATCTGACTTCTGTGTGTTTGTTTTGATTGCCAAAAGGGCTCTATATCAGTTGTACAATCTTTCTAAACTTTATAGTTCCTGGCTCAGGAAAGATGGCCTTTGCTATTGAAGCCAACTTCTGCACATGCTACTGTTACAAAACCAAGAGATCTCATTTCTATTAGCAAGTTTTCATGACAGGAAAGAGCAAGTACTGAGTGTCTTTGTTCTTGCTATAACAACACCTCAGTGCTTACAACCTGGAACAAAACCGTACAGTGAGAGAGAGATAGGAAAAAAAATCTATGCACTTAACCTACAAATCTCTAGTGATGGCAGTTGTATTATTGTTAAATGGCATAACAGTCTATTAGGTGGTAGGAAAATATAGCCTGCTAAATCCTACTTAAGTTGATCTACTTTGAACTGAATAACTGTATAAAAACATCTTTTGAAAATACTATCCCTTTTGACTTAGATTCTGCCTTACATCAATTTTTGCATTTTTGGTAACAAACCTACAACATGTAATTCTACTCTGTTAAATATTTGCTCTCTAACAGCTCATAAAGTCACCTATTTCAGTTTTATCAAGACTGTTACCAGATTAAAACTTTCTTCTGTAGCAGGCTCTCTTTTTTTGATACTGAGGTCTGTTTTTAAATACTTAATTTGAATAGCTCTAAAATATTGGCAGTTGGGTCACTAAAGGATTTTAGAGATGTGATTGAACATAAGTTCATTCCCTATTAAAGACATTCCGTAAGTTGGCAAAAGAAATTGAGAGAAAGAAATGGGAAGTTTGATATTCGGGACAGCATTCAGATTGCTGGGTTGAGAGAATGTTAAAACTTGAACCAAGAGCTTCATTTCTTGCTAAGACTGACACCATGATAGTCTTTCTATTAGCTTGACCAATGTGGAATCATCAGTTAGCACCAGCAGCTGGAGATTTAAACTGCCAGTACTATGTATTTGGTATATAATGCAAGGGAGAAATTGTATCCTTGAATTGGAGGGTGATGAGGTGGGTCAGGAAAGGATGGTGCCAGAATTCTATGTGATGATGAACTAAAAACATGTTGCTTTTCAGAGGAAGATAAAACATCAGCTTTTTGGAGAGGGGTATCTCATGTAAATCTAAGTCAGTGAAAGAAAGAACTAGCCCCTGTCTCTTTTAAAAACCATATATACACAAAACAGGTCTCAGTTTTCAGTGCTACGTTTCAAAAACATATATGCTGCAATCTAAGAATTAAAAGGAATTTTAATATTATGAAACATTCATTACATTTTTTAAGTTAGATAATCAGTTTTTAAAAGAAGAATTCAGGTTATTTAACTTTGTTTTTAAATGGCTGCATCAGAAATAAAATTTCTATTTTTTTTTAATTAGAATATTTCATCATTTGTTAAAACATATTTTGGATCTGAGTTTGGTAAAGTGTTATTTTACCTGCTGTTGTACTACCACAGGCTATTGGCTTTTAGTTTCCTAAAGAGAAAAATTGCCTTTTTACTAGAAAGCCTTTGTGTATTGCCAATTTTTCTATTCGGGAAAATCTAAGGATTTACTGTGGTTAGTCTTACAGAAGAAATGTGGATTTGATAAACTAGTGCCTATGATTTTAACTTATGTTTGATATATAGTAGTAAGGGTTTTATGAATGTTGATTATTTTGTGCCAACAGCCCAGAATTGTCACTTATATGTAAGCAGAAAACTATGAACTCTGCTTCCAAAGTTATTTAATTTTCTCGGTGTTTGAATGTTATTTTTTGTAAGTGTGTTAATAAAAGTGTAAAGAATTGGAAAAAATATAAATATTCTTAACTCAAGCATTTGCTGGATCATTTTTCTACAAAACTTGTTTGTATAATATAAAACACTCTCTGAAGAATTGACTTTTTTCAGTTTTCATATCCTGGAAATCACATTTTGTAAAACTGGGGACCATTCATAATAGTCAGATACTTTTTAAAATTATCTCAATACATCACTTTTATAAAAGCAGTTTTTTTGAAAGAAAATTAAATACATATTTGGCCCCAGAAGTTTGTATGACTCTAGAGTGATGGAGATGTGTGTGTTTGAATTAACTTTTTATGGAATGTACAGGCGTCCATTTCTGACATTGCGCATGGTCCTTTTAGATCACATGGAGTTTGATTTGCAAACATTTCTATAGCCGAACTTGTATATGTGGTTGCTCCTTAATAAACAGCCTGACCATAATGTTTACTATTAAATTTATATTCATTTTGTAAGTGTTTAATTTCTGGATATGCTAAGATATATCTCCCCAATTGCCTGTGATTGGTTTTACTAAATTACTCTTTTGGTTTTTTAAATACACAAACCCAAATCATACTGCCCTCTCAGATTTAGATTTCTTGAGGACTTCATTTGTCAACTATTTGGAGTAAATTTAATAGTTTATATTGGCTTATTCTTAGAATTTTTTAACCTGTTGTGAATCGATACCTGTTTAGAAAAAGCTAGTATATATAAAACAAGCAAAAAGCTATTATGAGTTTCCAAGAGGGAAAGTAATGCGTTTTCAAACCAAATATAGATATGAAGGTAATTGTGTGCATCTTTTTTATGGGTGGAGAAATTAAGCCTTGTATGCTGTTTAACGCGTTCCCCAGATTCCATTAGGATGTGTTGCATGTCCCATGTTAGAAGTAGTCTCACTGATACAAGAGGAAGGCGATGCCCTTGTGTTTCAATTTTTCTCCCAGGCCAGCCTAAAAACTTTTCAGAACCATTTAAAATTAAATGTTTAAATCAATGAATGGGTGGTTGCTTAACTGGTTATGTACCCAGTGCAGCTGGGAATACTTGCTATGTCAAAGTTAACCTTGAGTTCTAAAAGCAGAATAGATGTTACAGAAACTAACTTGGAGAAATTGAGCAGGATGTTCACATGAGGATAAAGTCAAACTTAGCAACCACTCGTGTATTTTGACTGACCCTGAGTATAAATCTGGCCTTGGCAGTTCACCAGTCTGTAAATGGAACAGACTTCACTCTCGGACCTTCTATGCTGCATCTCGATTAAAACTATGTTACCTGCATCACAATTTCAAGCAAATTGTTTATCT